TTAACACTATATTTTAACACTAACACTATTTTTATGTTAATGTGACACCAAGAATTATTGAATATTAAACACTGGTTGGTGTTAAATTAACAAAAATATGAGTGTTAAAATTTAACACTTTCACAAATGTTATTTTAACACCAGCGAGTGTGGACACATTTAGACACTTTGTTGGTGTTAAAATTAACACTGTGGGTGTTAAATTAACACTGGCGTTTTTGCTGTGTTGCAAAAACAAAAAGTTGATTCAAATTCAGTTACATTTAKTTTGAATAAATTTAATTTCCGGTTTGGCGTGTGAAGCAACATGAAACACGTGACTGCGAGATTAAATTACGAGACTTCATTACCTTTAGCGCAGATCAGAACACGAACTGAGTTACCTGGTGAAACATTAGTGCCAAAAATCAGGAAACACCACGAAGGACAAAATGCTGAGACAATAACTCCGGCTTAGATGAAAGTTTGGTTTTAGATCCTTACAGATTTAGGAATAAACGTGATTCTAATCATCACTTCAGCTCTTGAGTAAACCTTTGTATTGCTGCGAGTTATTTTGAATGAGTTTTTTAAAATAAAGTAATGTGCTAACAGAGTGAACGGTGCTAACCTGCTGGTCGGCCGATGACCGCCTGCAGCTGCTCTCCTCCCTGTGTGGTCGGCAGCTTGATTACTGTGGAGAGCCTTTAATCTTCTTTTATTTTGTTTCCGCACACGAATAAGCTCACTGACACAAACCCTCATCGTASTAAACTCCTGGCAATATTTAAGTCATCAACACTTTTTCCTCGCACCCTTATTGATTTTAATAATAAGCTGCCCTCTTTGCCAGCCTCATTGTCGGAGTTAATCAGTGCTCACTGAGTTTAACTTTAACTAAAACTTCCTGTCCCCCAGGAATGTTCCAAATGTTGCCTKATTGGTTGAATACTTGCCATTATGTACAAAACTAGTCATAGTTTTAAAACGAAAAGTAAACTTTCTTAATTCACAGTCTTTTTGTCGATTTTCCAACTCAAAAGCAAAACAGAAACGGTACATTTACTAACCGGAATGCCACATGGAACCTGAAAAGCAGGTTTACAGTAGGCCACGTGGAAAAAAATAAAAATCTTAAGTAAAGATGAGGCTGAGGCGGGTTTTAAATCGAAAAAAGAGCTGAACTCAGGCGTTTACAGAGATGTGCTCAGACCCATTCAGACGCATAATTAGGAGTCCAACACACATCTCAGAGCCCACGACGACAGCTGTGTAACCCCCATCAGCTGTTAATTTTGTGTAACAGCAGAAAGCGGCTCTCGTCAACAATGGTCCTGCAACCCGAGCCGCCGCTCAAAGCTTTCTGAGGAGAAACGCTGCACTCCATCAGCAGACTTATCATTAAGAGCGGGATGCCACAGAGGCAGCTGGAATCACACTTGCTATCTATACGTGGCCCCTGAGACCCCCACCCCCCTCCCACTGATGGCTATTTTAGTAAAGCCACAGCAACTGTCCCCGGCACAATGTGGAGTTTCTGAAATGTGCTGTGGGGGGGCTCCATTTGAATTCCCCCACGACACGTTGAATACATGCTGACGCAGTTGATAAACAGCAAAGCTACTGGTGGCGACGTGTGAGACGAGATGAAGCTGGAGGAGTCCTGCGTGGGAAGAACAGATAAWCAATTCTGAGTCTCGCTTTTTGTTTTTTGTTTTTTTTCCTTTACACTGTTGACATCTGTCGGTCTCAAAGCCGACACAGTAGCTGCTGGAAAGACAGGTGATGACTTCAAGCAGAGATTAGTCTTTGGTAATTAACTGCACTRACAGACGGGAGCACCTGCTCGCTCAGCACAACCCGACGTTCAGCTGCGACAATCTGATTGTGCGTCTAACCTGGGAGTCCTCAACTTTTACTAGCGATGTGCCGATCGATACTGAAATATCAATACCACCGATACCAGAACTTTATGCTCTAGAATTGATACWAAAAATTAAAATATCGATACTTTTATACTTCTGTCATTTCAGGTCATTTATATCATTTTAACAAGTGTAGGGGTCACCCCAAGGGAGAATAAACATTTCCACCTGTCTTTGAACCTGGTCTCAGAAGACCTCCCTCAAAAGAGACATTTTATTTTCTTTAATCAAGATAATAAACAAAATAATAACGTTCTTTATTTTTGATTTATATTTTCTTTGAACTAAAAATTATCATTTATAAATCAAAGTTACAACACAGTGGAAAGTAAATAAACTTTTGAAATCTTGTCTAAATCATTGCAGTTGGTGGGAACTACTTTTTTTAAATCACCTGGTATTGCATAGGTGCAGCAGCACGTCCTCAGTCAGTCGCTCAGTCTATACATGTTACATGTTTGGGATTTTCATGTTAATATGCTAATGTGAAGTAAATTAAGATTCAAGTTTTCATTTTTATAGTACTTTTTGATCAAACAATAATCTTGTTTAATGGTTTTATTATTTGACTTCACCTTTTATTATTTAAAATGCCCTTTTTACATATTTTGTATGATTGTGTCCTTTRTTTKTCTATTGTAGGCCTATTAGGTCGGCTATATGACAAATATGGATGCTACATCAATGCATTTCTGAGCTTAAAATGAATGAATTATTTTGATGTTTTGTATTCTTTATGAAGCAGGTATTTAGACATGTTCCATGTTTTTGCACAAATTATCAGTATTGGATCAGTATCGCAAACACCAGTCKGAGTTTTTACTCAGTATCAGAATTGGAAAGGAAATTGGTGCTATTGAACATCACTAACTTTTACAATTAAAAGAGCCACTTAAAATGTGTTCAGTGCCACAAAATGTGTTTGGAGTTTAAAATAGAAAACAATAAACTGCTTCTCCTTTACGGGTCACGAGGGACTGGTTCCTGTCTCCGGCAGTCACTGCGTGAAAGGCAGGGGGACACCCTGGACAAGTGTCCTCCATCGCAGGGACGCATAGAGACTAATGAGATAGACAACTGTTCATACCTAGAGAMAATTTAAAGCTATAAATTAACCTAACATTGATGTTTCTGGCCAGTGGGAGCAATCCAGAGTACCTGGAGAGGAAACACGTGAACTCCACCCAGGAGGTAATCCTGTGACTACAAAGCTACAGAAATCCACATCAGATGTCGCAGACCCCAGCTTCAACCCATCACCGTTTGACTTTTWTGACAGAAATCAGCAGTTAACCTTCTCCCCCATTTAAATGATGGATGTAAGGCGGACTGTATGGAAAGAGCCTGCGGTGAAGCCAGGCRTCCTCGCATCCCTCGGCTGTTTGTCATCGCCACATTTGTGGAGCCTCTCCTGAGTRCAACCTGGAACTCATCAGCTAAAGGTCCTCTTCTATTTCAGTCTGAAGAGAACAGTCTGGCTAAATGATGACTTATGGTTTTGGTACGTTTTTTTTYCTAAAGTACACTCAGTCGTTGTTCACTTTCATGCGGCTTGGCATCTGTGCGTGGAGCTGGAGAGGATTTTTGTTGTTCATGAAGATTGTCATAATCAGAAGAACTTCCATTTCATCCATGTAGAAACCAGCTTATCCAGTCAAATGAGGATTATGATTCATAGAGGAAAATAAGTCTGTTTATTACACTTTTTATATTATGGCAAGATCACCAACACTTTCACTTTCAAGATGTATAATTCTATTTTTTTTAAGCTGTGCAACTTCAACATTCTTCACCACAGGCACACCCTTAATTGTGATTCTGTGTGTGTCTGTGTGTACTTTATGTCCAACTACTGTTTGCTAAAGAGGATCAACTAAACCAGGATCCTGCAGGCAAGAAGGATGCAAATTTCATTTGATTTTATATTTTCACCCTAATCAGGTGACCTCCAAACACACACAGTGTCACTACAGGAAACCCAAAGAGATGATCCTGGCTGGACTTMAGATTTCAGCCCTTTTATATGTAGGTGGAGGGACATGAAGCTGTAATTACAACATTCTTTCACTGGGCTGAGCAACAAAAACCTGGAATTAAACGAAGCAGCAGATATAAAGTCCTAAATATTGTTTGGAAATCTGCAAAACCACTGAAAGCAGCTCATCATTTGTAGAAATKATGTTCAGACCATAAAGTTGGTGGAAGCTTAATGCATCGTGTTCATAATGATTAAGAATCAGCCAAATTCAATTAACCAAATAGTTTTCTGCAAATATTTCGCGGCAGWTTTTTAATCAAGGCGCTACGCAACTTCCCTTTCTTATGAAATAATAATAATTAAAAAAAAACTATAAGGAATAATAAACAAAGAGCTGTCAAATGATAAATAATGAACTTACCGGTTGGTTCGGTGTCGTTCAGCGCCTCCGCTTCACATTCACTCACTTTGGGTTTAATCTGGTGGAGAGGAAAAAAGGAAAAAGCAGCTCCTGCAGACTCCTGCTCGCCTGTCTTAGCTCTCGTGCCCAACTCTCTGTGAGTGAGTGAGTGAGTGTGTGTCAGCTGTACGTGGTGTTCGCACACGCACACACACACACAGAGGGGCTGTGACGCCACAGCTTCGCGTTTCCTTCCGCCTTCCGTCTCTCCAAGCGGAGCGCACAGTGAGCGAGTTTCACCACAAACATGAGCGAATAAAAAATATGTATTAATTTAAGAAAAACGTGTTCCGGAAAATGAACACATCCTGCTGCAGGAGGAGATTTCAGCTCCGTCTGTCATCGTGTTTAATTCTAACGCCAGTGTGATTTTATCTGCTGGCACCAGCAGGGCCGTTTATAGTGGGCAAAAACACGGGGGCTCGTCCCAGTCCAGAAATATTTAGGGTGTATTCAGACCAGGAAAGTTCTTTAGTCCAATTGTTTGGTCCGGACCAAAAATGGACTTTTTTTTTTTCGTCTGGTGCGGTTTGCATTCACATTGTGCTTTTTTGCAAATGAACTATAACTTGTAAACAAAGAGGCTGACGATCATTGCTCCCATTGGACAAAAAAAGGACGGGGGCGGGACTGAGCCACAGATCCAGAAGAAAACAAGGAAGTCCTGCRTGCTGCGGTTCTGATGCGCACATTTTTGCTGATAGTACAACTGCAATAGCATTTAAAATGTCAGAAACAGCTAATTTAACGGTGTTTCCGTGATGATATTCTAATTTTGGAGCGGCGTCAGTAAATGTGTCCCGCAACCCAAATGAGACGAGGTGCTCTGCGTGTTCTGACCCACAACATGCCGGCAGTAGAGCTGCTAACAGGAGACGACGAAACAGGWATGTTTTCAGTTTATTTAGCTCAGCAACGGTGGCCTGTGAAGTCCAAAAAGGAAGCAAACTGAAGTGAACCGCACCAGAGTTCGTTTGGAAGCGGACCGAGACCACCTCAAAAAGCAGGTCTCGGTC